TTGCAGTTTTCTTACGGCTGATGAACATTCCAATAATGTTTTATTTTTTTGATAGATCTTCAGATCACCGGCAACCAATCCTTTAGCTGATGCAGTCTTTCTCATAAATAATTAATCGTAATTTGTGCATGAATACCGAGTCATTCTTCGTTGCGCACCAAAACGTACAAAACGTACCACATTCAAGCAAGTTCTTGGAACGCGAAACAAGCAAGCTAATTCGTCGATCGCCTTTACTTGTGGGGTTAGTATATGTAGAAAGTATAAACACGTGAGTTTAATTTATGATTTTTTGATTACCACATCTACGGTGTGCTGATTCCCGAATAGCTGTACGTCCTTGTAAAATACGTCACTATACAGCGTGTGTCGAAAAGAATTAATCGAAAAATTCCTATTATCATTATTTACCTTATGGTAACGTACCGTTTGGTAGCCGTGATGTTTTGAACAAGAAGTTCATGACAGATATCAAGGATTCTTATGAACACAGCAAATCCACGTGGACCTTTGGAACTCAAGAATGAAATTTGCCTAACATCGAGGTTCTTGTTTTTTCGGCGGATGGTGCCGTTACGTACGTCATATCTTAAAGAAGTGTGTAAATAAATAAATAAATATATATATATATTGCAAAGCTTAACTTATTCTCCTGCTTGTTACCCAGAATGACTTGTTTTTCCTCTATTGGCATTAGATACCGAGTGAATAACTGGAACATTCCCAATTGCCAACTCCGAAATGATTTTTTCAATCATTGACTCAATTCTTTGGACTACCCAAGTCCTAAAACCCAATTAATAGGTGAATCTTTTCATCAGTTGTAAGATAAGGCATATGCACGTTAGAAACATACCTTGGCTTGAATGTGGTTGCCAAGAATTCATCGTCCATATAATCAACGGATTCTAATGAAGTTTCCATTATAGCGAAATGTTTAAAAAAGAACGAAGGTGGATTTAACAAGATACATGTGTAAGATTCAGAGGAAAAGCGAAAGTGCGAGATATATAAATAGGTCGTGTGCTAGACAATGTGCTAAAGTTTGTTTGCTTGCCTATTTCAATAAAGTTTATGTAGCAACCCAGATTTGGATAAGTTTAAATTGACGCGTCAAACTAACAGCCTCGCGAAAAGTTTGCGTACAGATCATACGTAATATCGTATTTGTGCGACTATGAAAAATTCTAACTGAATTTAGTAAGGGTCAATAAGTGAACTCCAGAAAAGGATCTGGTAATGTCTAAAGGGCGCGATTTCAACGCGCAGTTTGCATCATGTAAGATATGTTGCACAGATAGAATGGGATAAATCAAACTCCACCCATTCTCCGGTCGGATCACTTTCGTTTCATTAAACTCCAAAATGCCTTTACCAATTCTTTCTTATGATGACAAGACTCTGCAAAAACTTTATCCAGATTACCTGTCGTTGAGATTAGTGCAGGTGATAGCCAGACATGGTTCGTTTGCATTTGGCTATTGTGGAGTCGTTTTTGTGGAAATTACCAATTTTTTTGATTACCGAATGTTTTGAACACAGGTGAAAGAGCTCCAAGGAAAAGATTAACGGAATTTATACCGGGCTTATGGAATTTGTGTCATGCCGCTCAAGCATGCATTCCACAAGGTATCGATGAGATACATTCGTCGAATTCACCTCCACAAAATGAAAGCCTTTCCGGTCTGACTGAGTCCTCACGGAAACAAAAGGTTATCTCATTACCGGGAGATTGGTAAGTCCATTGATAGATATTGACACGAGAATTCCGACGTTAATCCTCTATTATCAGCTCAGAATGTCAGGTAAGGTTATACGGTCATTAATTTACGAAATAGCCATTCGCTCATGTCGTTAACTTTTTATTCGAATGTCCCGCAGCTCACGGACATCGGCCGTACCTCGATGTCCAAACTTGGTGCGCACCTGCGTGACTTATACGTCAAAAGGTAACAGATACCGGGCAAGACCCTTCACTTTCGTGATGTACAGTACATCTAAACTCGGATGTTCACATTCACATTCTGCCGTGTTCACAAATCAGATTGAAACTTCTAGACGCAAGGATTTCAGGTGAAAACGATGGGTCGATTTACCTCCGGTCAACCTATTTCAACCGGACGTTTGAATCATTACATCAATTATTCATTGGTGGTTTGTACCCATCGAAATATCGGGAAAATTCTTTCCTACTAAAAATTCACACGCGGTAACATAAACTTACTTATCGATTAAAACATATCTGCCATTTTCTTAACATGATGATTCTCAACATATCTTAGGGATCCATATGCAGAAAATCTGTACGCAAATCAAAATTGCAAACGGTTTTTTAACCTCCTCTCCGAATTCCGGAGTACCAGCTCCTTACGTCACGAATCTAAATTGAAATCTCTCACTGAAAAGTTGAAACCCATCGTTAATGAAGTCAGTTTCAGTTCGAAGCCTTCTTGCAACGAATTATTAGGTAAGGTGTTTACAATTGAACGTTGGATTTACTTTATGCTTTGCATGCATGCATTAAACAATTTCTTTTTTCGAATCGATAGATGCAGTTATCTCAGGTTCATCTCTACTATCACACTATTTCAACAAGTTCTTTTTTTTTGTGATATTCATCATATAATTGAATAATAAATATGCTTTTTCGTTTTCCACTTTCCTTTCCTTTCGCGACTCCAAAAAGCCAAATCTAATGGGATTCCAATACCCAAGGAGTTCACTGCCGATGTTATTGACGATTTAAACGCGGTTTCTACCGGGCGTAGTTTTGGCGGGTATGCATGCAGAAAGTTGCGCGATTGACTCTAAAGGTCGTAAAGTGAAGTGGCACGCTATGATAACTACAATATATTATAAATTTCTAGGTTCGAAGAAATTCCGGAACTGCGAAGGCTCGGCATCGGCCCACTACTCTTCGAGTTACGAGATCAAATGCTTTCCAAAATCGGAAATTCTAAAGAATCAGCAAAGAATTTAAAATTAGCAATATATAGTGCTCACGACGTTACCATCGCTCCGTTACTAGCAGCATTCGGTGCTTATGAGAATCGGTAATTTCTAATTTCTATCGAGCGCCTCAATAGCTGTGCGAATTTGAATCTTAAAAAATAACCTCACTTTTAACTTTCTTACTCCAATCTCAATCGCGAGAAGGTGGCCAGCATTTGCATCCCACATAGTTATAGAATTGTTTCAACAAAAATCCTCAAGTTCTCAAACAAATATAGATGATAACGATCGCGTCAAGAATCAAAAAACCGACGACACCGAAAATCCAGGTGAATATTTTGTCCGAGTAAGATACAACAATAAGATTCTAGAATTATCCGGATGCCAGAAAGACGGCATGCATCACACGAACGACAAATCGTTGTGCACAATGAAAGCATTTCTGGAAATTTTGAAAGAGCAAATTCCGGTGGATTTCGAAAAAGAGTGCAATGGTACATACAAAAAAACAAAGGAAGCGTAATTAAATAAATATAAAGTACAGAAGGAAATGATCGTTTTCATGTAGTGTAAAGGTTAAGTTTGTAGCTTTGAATGCTTAATGTCGATCATTTGGTTTTCGAATTCTTTCATAGAGAAATGAGAATATCAGGTGGTTAACTGCTTGCAAGGAAAGAAAAAAATATTTTTTTTTTGATGTAAAGTTTTTTTCAAGAATCAAATAAAGTGTATAATAATAGTTTTTAGAGAAATATTTTAAACTGTCACATTGCAAAAATTTATAAATTCATACTATCTATAAAAAATATTTTCTTAAAACTTTGAGAATATTTCTTTTCGTGTATTATGACAGAAGAGTCACGGATAATTGTATTAGTTTCAACCTTCATATTAGCAATAATATTGCTCGATCTCGATTAATTCAAGATTATTATTGCATGTGAAAAATTGCGTTTTATATTTATTTTACGCAGTCTGTTGCGCGTTGTCATTGACGATTTTTAACCCTACACCCTCGCATTCTATAATGAACGGGCCACCATCATATGCTTCGTCGGGTGCATCATCTTCCAATTTAACATATTGTTGTGATTCAAGTTTGGATATTTGAAATTTTATCCCCAACATTTTCTCGGCAAAATGTATGGCTGTACGAGTGTGCAGAGTTATCGGACCCGTGACCAATTGAGATTTTCCTTCGGCAAGTGACATAAAGATGATCAGTTGATCTTGGAGATATCTAATTTGTTGAAGCGAAACACGAAATAAATCCAATCGAGGACCGAATTACGTGCTTGGATAAAAAAACATGCTTTGAGACGTACTCATCTACGCATCCACCGTGCCTAAGATTTTGCAAAAGTTCTTCGGTAGCTCTCTTTCCAACATCCTCCGGAGATTGTCCTAACATTAACATACAGTATCACATCACTCTGTGAGAATAATGATTTGGTTTCCCTTTTCGCTTCATGAATGTTAACCATGACCAGAATAATAATATTACTTTTACTTCCAACTGCACTGCCACTCATTATGCACCCAGTACTAGTCTCTGCCCATAATCTCTCAAAAGGCAGAATAATTTTCATCAGCAGAAGACTGTGATAGCAAGCGAAGAAAATCGAATTATTACTCACAATAAGTCAAACCCTTTGCTAACAGCCTTTTCGACATTTATTTCTATGTCAGGTTTGATCCCGCTGATTTCAGGTAATGCTGCACCGGAAATGATCTGTTTTACGCTTGAGATTATTTTATTTGCGACCTATTATTATTAATACCGTTTTAATGTTACAAATATTTGTTGGCAATGTGCCCGCGAATCAAAAGGTACTTGGGTCAGAGATACCTGAACGGGCGTATTCGTAATGCTTACTCGTCTGCGGAAATAGCATGCGTGCATTAAAGATGAATTAAGAAAAAAACATATTGATCAATTGAATATTTGATAAGAAAACTTGCCCCTTGATATTAACGATGGTACCCCGGTCAACCATCTTTATTGGATTTAAAGCTCTTCCAACTACTGGGTCAACGCGTAACATAACCTCTCCTCCGCCCTGAGGATAATATCTGGTAGTACGACCAAATTCTTTCGATTATGGACTAACCGACTGATGACAATATCAGCAATGAAAAGTGAAAGTAAAAAGTGCAAACCTACCCACGTCCAATGATATTAACATCAAAAGTAAATCCAAATTCACGTTGTACGATGGGTCTGAAAATCTTAAATCTATAAAGACAACCAATGCTATTAGTTGTCCATTGTTCGGAATAGTTTACAAGTACACTCTTAAGCAAAGATGACTAACATGGCGCCAAGCTCTTCTTCTGTAGCCTCAAAAGCAAGATTACGAATAAATAAAACATTGCCCTCCGAGGGAGGATGAGTTTCTCTTTTTATTGTGCCAGTTGACCTGTGATTTTCAGAATTGTCATCATCCTTTGCATCTGTCATAATTTCGTCATCATCGTCCTTTTCCTCAGTTTCTTCCGCACTTTTATCATCTTCAGAATCGATATCCGCCATAACATGATCCTCGTCCAGGACGGAGCCATTTTCGCTTTCGTCTTCGGTTTCCTCTTCATCAAAACTCCTAATATCCTCATCCTTAATCTGATCTTCATGCGCTCTGTCTGGCCCGTTTCCTGGATCGCCAGCTAACTTTGCTTGAAACGCTCCCATAGCCTCCAAATATTTATCTTTTGGTAATGACCAATCAACAGCTATTGTACGACCATGGTGTTTCGTCTCATTTAATTCATTAATCGCCTGTTAATAAAAAAAGAAATGTGAAATCCCGAGGTTCATATACCAAGAAAACTGACAAAAAAAGTATACCTTTTCTGCCTCTTCACGTTTCCTGTATTGTATGCATGCAAATCCGCGTAATGGACCTCCCTTATATTTACGAGGCAAACTGACCTCCACCACTTCACCGCACGCTGAGAAAATTTTTAACAAATCTTGTTCGCGATACTGTGAAGAACAATGAAAATGCGTGAAAATATAAAATGACCTATTATTAATGTTCAATGTTCAATGTTCAGACGACCTACCTCCCACGGAATATTGCGAACAATCAATCGGGATTTTTTATCAACCGAATTC